AAATTTTCACCAGGAAGATGAAAGATTTCTACCCAAGGCGAATCACAAAAAAAATCACAGAAAGAGTCCCAGTCAGCTTTAAGGACATAGTATGCATTTTTTGGAAAAGCATACTATGTCTACAAGAAAAATTTGAAATAATTACACTTACAAACCAAGAATGTTTATTAAACAAAAAATCGGAACCGATTTCTAAATGCAGGCACGAAAATAAGTTTCTCCTAAAAAACTAAAAAAATAAGTGAGCTCAAATAATAGTTACATTAACTCCCCTTTGAAAAAAATATATTATTTTTTAAAAAAGCTTAAGTAATCATTTCTAAAGAATTCTTTTTATAATAGTGTCAGCAAATTACACAAATGTGTGAAAAGATGATGATGTATGTTGATATACTATCATTAATAAGACTTTTATTGCTGCTAAATCATTGTTCAACTTGAGCTTGTCTATGAGATAACATAAGTACCATTTCGAAAATGTACTGTAGATTTGCAGACATATTTAAATCATTGTATTTCTAAAAATGTTAGTTCAAACGATCTTCATCTTTATCAAAATTCAAAAATACCTTTGTTATCAACAACCATAGTTTTACAGCACCTGGAATATTCTTTCTTAGCTAAATCACCAACAGAAGCTATAATTTTCTTGTAAATAACAAGCTTCATCAACAGTTAGTCAAAAAAATATTCATACTTTTTTAAAAATTCAGCTATAAATGATGGGAAAATACACATTAGACAGCAAGCCCAGCAAATGCTTTTCTCGATGATATGAGTATACACTGAGATAAGGAAATCATCTATTTCTCCCTTGAACCTGTTAATTTGAATATCAGTAATTTTTTCCTTACTCTAGAATTGCTGGAGATCATACTATAATAAAAAACCAATATTAATCTTGCTGATTGAAAGTTGGTTTGCACAACTATATAAATCTATTTTTAATAAAGACATTGTAGTGTTGGTATTTGCAAGACCATCTAATTAAATGAACTTTATATAGAAGTTACATAGTAATTCTTCAAATGTCATCACTAGAAAAGGAGTCTTTGGTTTATCAGTTTGGAAAGAACTAGAATATAAAAATAGCAAGACTGAAAATAACATTTTGTGATTTTTTTTTTTTTTTTTCGATTTAAAAAATAATATCATAAGAATTAATCTCTGAATATTTCAATACTTTTGTATTAAAAACAAAAAAAATATATTATTAAATACATAAAGAGCAATACAATTGCATCAGGATTAAATATTACATATCAGGGTATGTATTTAGGCTGCCACTGATTTCTTTAAAAATTTTTAAAGGAACATAAACTTCACTTGTTCAAGCACTTAAATGTTTAAAGCTGGTGTTTTGCGCTGATTTACCATATCCAGGTTGCTTATTCACCTATTTATTATTGCATTTACAAAATCAAATACTTTATATATTTATTAGATACTACTTTAACTTCTAGTGGTTTTGACTTTCACTTGGCTTTAACATATCTTGCTGATCTACTACTAATTATTTGCACTACTGCTAATAATTTTTCCTCTGTTGATTCAGCATCTATTACTCTTCGACAACATTGAATTTGCTATAATGTTTTATAAAGGTCTCATTCTATATAATTTTTTTTTTTAAACCAAACTGTTTCTTATTTTCTGCATCACATACGCATTTTAAAATATTATAATTGAAAGCCATATTTTACTTCATAATATAAAAAAACATTTTTAAATTTTTTTTTTTTTTTTTTTTTTTTTTTTTAACATCTTCGCTTCCAACAAGGCTGCAAGCAACCACTATAAGAGTTGGAAGTTACTGGAAGAGAAAAGACTAAATCTGTAGAGCAAGATAACGATTGACTGATGACTTAAAAAATTGCAAATTATATGAATCAGGAAAGCAAGACGAAGGAAGCGAATTCCAAAGAACTGATGTTCGAGGAAAAAAACTAGAAGAATAAGAGTTTTTGAAGCACTTAGGAACAGTCACAGAAAAAGGATGAGACTTAATTGAATGGCGAGTAACACGAGAATGAATTTTAGTAGATGGCACAAGGGACGCTAGCTCTTTAGAGCAGTGCCCATTATAGTATTTGTAGAAAAGAGAAAGAGAAGCAACATTACGACGATGTGACAAAGGTTGGAGATTGGCTGCCAGAGCAGGTCCAACTATGTTTACAATTCGTTTTTGCACCTTGTCTAAAAGAGAAAGAGCATCATTAGAAGATCCGCCCCAGATGTGGCAACAGTATTCCATACAGGGACAGATTTGAGATTTATAGAGATAGAGAATAGAATCTGGAGTAAGAAAGTGTCGAGCTCGATAAAGAGATGCAACCTTAGCAGATGCTAATTTTGCAATGGATTTGATATACGGTTTAAAAGAAAGATCAGAAGTAAGAGTTAATCCTAGAAGATGAATGGTAGATGACTCATCTAGTACATTACCATTCATAAATATAGGAAGATCTAAATTATTACGATAACGATTGGCCGAATAAAATTGAGTTTTATCTGAATTAAAGTTCACCAGCCACTGTGAGCCCCATGCTGTAGCAGAAGTGAGATCCTTTTCAAGCTCAGATACCCCCTCCAAGCAATCAGAGAGTGTAGGCTTCTTATCATGACAAGAGTAAATGGTAGTGTCGTCAGCGAATAATGCCACCTTAGATGTGAGAATATCTGGAAGATCGTTAATGTAAATTAAAAAGAGTATAGGGCAAAGGATTGAACCTTGAGGAACCCCTGAAGTTACAGGATGTGAAGAAGAGTGTTGTCCATCGAGGACAACTTTTATACTACGATTGGAAAGAAAGGACTCAATAATCTTAAAGACGTTACCAGCTACACCATAAGAAGAAAGCTTATGGAGAAGACCAGCATGCCAAACTTTATCAAAAGCTTTAGAAATGTCAAGTGCGATAGCCTTAACCTCTCCACCTCTATCTAATGCACGGTAAAACCTATCGGTTATTACTGTTAGCACATCAGCTGTAGAACGAGAAGACCGAAATCCATATTGATGATCAGAAAGTAAGTTATTTGATTCAAGATGAGAGATTAAGTGTTTGTTGATTAAAGATTCAAAAACCTTGCTTATGACAGGAAGAAGACTAATGGGACGGTAGTTAGATGAATCAGATCGCTCTCCGGAATATTTGAAAATAGGGATAACAGATGCTGCTTTCCAGCATGATGGAAAACAAGACTCTGATAAGCACTTGTTAAATAGTTTAGAAAGTATGGATGAAAGCTCCGGAGAACACCTCTGCAAGACTACAACAGGAATGTTGTCAGGACCACAAGCTGTTGAAGAGTCTAAGCAGGAAATTACTTTAGATACAGAAGCTGAAGTGATGCGAATGTCAAGCAAGGGATCAACCTGTTTGACGGCTATGTCAGGTAAAATGCAACTAGTGGAATCAAGAGATGATATTGATGAAAAGTTCTTAGCAAACAATTCAGCTTTGTCTTTAGGTGAGGTGACAAAGTCTGAACCATACAAGAGAGAAGGAATAACAGATTTGCCCTTATTATTGATACTGTTAAAGATTCTCCAGAAGTCTCGAGAGCCTAATTTTTGTGATGAGATACGAGATTTAATGACCTGGGAATCGCGAGCTTTGGCGTCAGACAAAACCTTTTTACAATGGTTTCTGGCGATAGTGAACAGATGTCTGTTTTCTGGGGAATTGTTTTGCTGATAGATATGGAAGTAACGGTTTCGATTAGAAATTGCCGGCCTCAGAACCATAAAACTGAGTTTTAGAGCTGTACCCTCATTAGGAGATAATAGAATGAGTTGCCCAGTCATAAAAATAGAGACACAAGCAATACCCACGCATTGAGTCAAGAAGATCCAGCGTTCAACATCCTAAACTGGAAACAATGTATTAAAAATACATCTGCGCCAGCCTAATAGATGAGGAAGGGGTGCGAGGCTGGTCAACAGATAGAATCTGTTTACCCCTTAAGTCTTTGCCTAGGAGGCCTTCTACAAGACAGCAGCTGGATGCATGTAACATCTGCCCAAGATGAGTATTTTTATCGAGACACCATCTCTAGCCTTTACTCAACCAAGAGCCCCAAGGCAGGGGGTGTTTTAATTCGGAGTTAACTTCTCCTAGCCTTTGCCTAAAAAAGCGTATCCTACAAGGCAGCAGGACATGGAGCAGGTTGTACTGGGTTACATGTTACCAGTAGCAGGAAAACCTGACCTGACCTTTAAACAAGTGACACAAATATTACACTCGAAATACGGAAAAATTTAACTTGCACACTTCCTTTTTTAACACTATCAAATATGGCAAGCTCTCTAAATAATAAAGTACCACAGAAACCTTTTGTGAAATTATCAGAAAATATGTGAAAAAATGGATTTGATACTTAAAATCTTTTGAGTAAATTAACTTAAATTTATGTAATGATATTTTTTATTATTCATTGTAATATTTAAGCGAACTGCACCTCATGTACAAGGTACCAATATATGGGACAGTAGATACATATATTTCTCATATAAACATTTGAATCTCCAGTTGTTTAAAGTTTATTATCTTTTTTTACTTGAAATGAGATATAACGTGAGCAATACAGCTACAAATACAGGGTATTTGACACATTAAAGTAAATATATGGAACTCCTAAAAACATGCTTTATCACTCTATACATAAAAGTATTAATATAGATACTTAAAAAAGTTTTATTGTTAAGAGACAGATTTTTTGCACCCTTCCTCTAGTATAGGATTAGTATAATAAAGTATAGGATTTCAAATCATCAAAGAAGTAACTATTTGCTTCTCTATTGATAAGTATAATCTATTCACTTTAATAAAATTTCTTAGATGATAAAAGAAAAGGAAAGTAAAGAGAAAGTAAGGAGAGCAGTCATATTTTAATATTTTATACGGTAATTTAAGGACTTTTAAAAAAGTATTTTTTAAGAATATCTAAGGTTTTTAAGGAGTGGGAACCCTGAACATACAAAAAAATATTTATAC